CATTAATAGGCAATCGTTCGATGGGCTGAATTGCACAAAACGCATGATCGCACCGGCTGGTCTGGTACGCGTTGCTATTTATTTTCATTAATTCTCCATCATAACAAATTTTTAACTCCAAGTCAATAGGATTTTAGACCATGTTTGCGCTACTGGATCAGGCCGCACCGTATTTAGTAATTAGTAGACCGTCCTTTTTATGTTTTTTGCAGCTATGCAATGCGGAAAACGCCTATTGACGAAAGGTTGTCTGTGTGTGCGCAGGGCCTCTGTACCGGTTTTTAATCTCGAGGCCGGCAAAAGCTACAGGGCTGAAACTTTGAGGCCTTAATTTACATGCACGTATAGGCCTCCATCCCCAAAATGGTCGGTCTTACCCACGTGTTACCCACGTACGGGCCCGTCAAGTTTTTTTGCGGGTAAGTTACTAACTCGCGAACCAGAAAAGCTAGAAAGCTGAAATATTAAGGAGATGTTTCCCGTCCTAGTAGGTATTAATGAGCTCAAATCCAGCTCCCGGGTAAGTGTGATAGCCGCGTATGGGCCCGCCAAAATCTTCTCCGGTAAGTTGATAACTCATGAACCAGAAAAGCTAGAAAGCTGAAATTTTGAGAGGATGTTCCCCGTCCACATTAGTCTCAACGAGCTCAAACTCAGCCTTCGGTCATGCGTGGTACCTACGCACGGGTTTTCCACGGGTAAGTTCATAACTCGAGAAGCTGAAAAGCTAAAAGACTGTATTTTTAAGATGATGTTCCCCGTCCAAGTATGTCTCAACGAGCTCAAACCCAGACATCGGGTATGCGTGGTACCCACCTGCGGGTCCGTGAAAGTTATTTTCCAGTAAGTTGCTAATTCAGGAGCCAGGAAAACTAGAAGGCTGAAATTTTAAGGGGGTGTTTCCTGCCAGTTCTGGCAGCCAGTCTTAACTTGTTTAGCTAGAAGCATTTGTCGAAAAAACCGATGCCGGTAGCGACAAAAACTGCAGGGAACTCTGCAAAAAACGCATGTTCGCACGGGCAGCCCGTGCGTTGACCAATTATTTCACGCTGCACTACGTATATTGGTTCGGCCAACCTTACATTCAGCGCTAACGGCATTTTCTGCTGACTGCAACTGAATTTGAGCCTTCAGGATGTCAAAAGAGCTCCCTTTATCAGAACATAGAAATTTCAACGGATTTATGAATGGGACCTTCCGGGAGGGTGCTGCATTATTTGTAGAACAAGCGGTAGTGCTTACCTTGATGTGGAATTTAGCAAAAACAACATCGCCATTTTTATTAACAAGTTTTAATGGATTCTGGCTGTATCCATTCATGAAGCGATAGCCATCTGGAATGCCTCGATCGCCAAACAGAAACATTAATGCATGCACTGATTCCGGACGTAGCGACCAAAAATCGAAGGACATATTTGGATCCTGGAAAATAAAGTGCTGATAAAAATATTAGATGCAGTGTAGCTTAGATCCATTTA